TGGATGGATGGATGGATGGATAGATGATGGATGGATGAAAGGAAGGAAGGATGGATGGATGGATGGATGGATAGATGGATGATGGATGGATGGATGGATGGATGGATGGATGGACAGAAAGATGGATGGATGGATGAATGAATGAATGGATGGATGGATGGGTGGATCGATGGATAGATGATGGATGGATGAAAGGAAGGAAGGATGGATGGATGGACAGAAAGACGAATGGATCGATGGATGGATGGATGATGGGTTGATTTCTCTAAAAAGCTGCATTTCTCTCCACAGACAGGCGAAGCTGGAGCAGGAGAGGAGGCAGAGGGAGGAGGAGGAGGCCCGGCAGAGGAGGCTGCAGGAGGAAGAGGAGGCCCGGCAGAGGAGGCTCCTGGAGGAGCAGAAGGAGGCTCAGGAGCGACTCCGAGCCGCCCAGCAGGAAGCACAAGAGGAAGAAGAGAGGAGGAGGAGAGAGGAGGAGGAGAAGAAGAAGAGGAGGGAGGTGGAGGAGCAGAAGGAGGCCGAGGAGGAGGAGAGGAAGAGGAGGAAGGAGGAGCAGGGAGGGCTGACCTCCTACAGAGCTCTGTACTCCTTCATCGCTCGCAACGCCGACGAGCTGAGCATCGACGCCGACTGTCTCATCCAGGTACAGAAACTCAGTTCACCTTCTGGATGTAGTTCAGCTCAGAAACCAGGTGTGTCAGGCAGCCTTCAGGTAGATAAACTCACCTGGTTTCTTATTTCACTCTGTTCAAGCTGATGTTTGGCCTCTCAGCGGCCTGATGGAGACCAGAAGCTTCTCTGTGCACAGAGACCGTGAGGCGTTTAGGGAACAAAGGTTAAAAAAAAACAAGCCGAGAAGACGCGTGATTCAAAATGTTCTCTTCATTTTTATTTCTTCATCTGCACTGAGCTGCAAAATACATGACAGTTGTGTTTCCTAATTAAAGAATCGACTCAAAAGCTGCCTGGAGCTCACTGAAGCAAACATGAAGAAGTTGAAACAGGCAGCGTCGAGTGAAAAGAAAAAGTTGAAGTAAAAAGTGCAGCTGGTGTTCACAGACATCTGTATGTGAGGCGTGCTGTTGTTGTTGTTCAGCAGTAATTAGTGCAGCAGGAAGCAGCAGGACGCTCCGTGTTTACCTTCATCGCCTCGTTATGTGCGACCGACTGTGATTAAACCGTGTTTTCAGGTGGATGAAAACACCGTCGGCGAGCCCGGCTGGCTGTGTGGGAGTTACCGTGGCAACAGGGGCTGGTTCCCGCACACTTACGCCGAGAAGTGTGCCCCGGCCTCCGCCAATCAGACGGCGGCTTCTTCGCCGGGAAAAACGAGCCGCCTGCCTCCGCCGCTGAACGCCAGGTGACAGAACAGGAAGTGTTTAATCCAGACTGACACCACGACCCTGTTTGGTTGTTTTCCTCTGATCCTTTACTTCCTGTTTTTATCCAGAGGCCCAGATGTTGAGGAACCAGGTGAACACACAGCTCCTGTCCAATCAGATGCCTCAGAGGTAAGAAGCTCTCAACCAATGACAGCTTTTATTTATTGTCAGTGAACTTTTCATTGACTTATTTCAGCAGAAAAGTCCAGAACAGTTGATAAATTAGCATAAATTTTCTACAAGAAGACACGTTCTGCTCATACAGGCGGTATTAAGTGAACAACAGTCGACTACTTTAGGACGAATGTAGAGTTATTTTGTATTTTCTTGTCATTGTTGGACTATTTTGATTTATTCTCAGTTGGTTTCAGGTCATTTTGGGCAATTTAAACTAATTTTGGAACAATTTAAAGTCATTTTGGACCAATTTGAAGTTGGTTTCAGGTCATTTTGGAAGATTTAAACTAATTTTGGACCAATTTTAAGTTGGTTTCAGGTCATTTTGGAAGATTTAAACTCATTTTGGACCAATTTTAAGTCATTTTGGAAAATTTTAAGTTGGTTTCAGGTCATTTTGGACGATATAAAACTCATTTTGGACCTATTTTAAATCATTTTGGACATCCTGAAGACACATTTTAAGACAATTTGGACAGATTTTAAGTCATACTCGACATTTTTGTTACTTTTTTTTTTTTTTCCGGTCTCATTTTTCTTCACTGTACGTCCATTTTTCTCTACAGCAGAGTAATCTCTGACTTTTCATCATGTGACTGTTGATCTCAGCTCAGTCATTAATGGCTTCCTGGTTGTGTTGAGGTGTGCAGAATTTTTTGATTTATGCAGAATCTGGTTATTGCAAAAGATTAATTGTCTGTGAAGATTCTCAGTCATCCAGGTCACGGTTATTCTGGTAGATTAATCGTAGCAACTGGACTAATTGTTGAAGAATTTTTAAATGAGCCGAGTATGACACGGTTAAAAAGGCCATAAATCATAAAAACCTTTCATTTTTTTAGCTATTTATTTTACAAAAAAGCTCAAATCAATGTGTCCAACATTTTTCCATTTGCCAATAGGTGGAAAAAACACAGCATGATATAGATTTTTAACTATTTACAGTTTTATTTTGCTTCGTCTCCTCTCTGCTCCGTATGAACACTGCCTGCAGTTCAACCGAGAACAGAATCTGATTAGAGTATCATGTCTATTTTTTGCATATTTTTAAACAAGACCTGTAGAAAAAAAAGGTGATTCTGATTAAATGCCACAATATGAAGCTTAGTTTTAAGTTAACCCAGATTTTTATTCTGGAACAAAGCGGTCGAGTCGCACCATTGCGTCCTTTAAAAAGCGTTTTCAGAACATTTGCTGTGCTGCCGGTGCGATGATGTGTGCTGTCGTCGTAGGTCTCGGGTTTAAACCGGCAGGAACAGAAGTAGGTCTCACACAGACACACACAGTTGTGTCGACGTTAACACAACTCCTCAGCAGCAGCAGCAGCAGCAGCTCGATGCGTATTTATAGCTGTGTGTTCTCCGCTGGGATGCTTCTGCCTCTCAGACTCTCTGCGGGTCACCGATGTCCATCTCCCCTCAGATAACATTAGTGGAACCAGCAGAGCTTTTTTTTTCCTGCACAGACGGATTCCTGGCGTCGCTCCAGAGACGTTTCAGCAGCGTTTCTGTTTATCAGATGGTCAGAAATGCCAGCAAAGTGCCGAGAGTTCAGTAGAATAAGATAAAGAGGACTCGCTCTGAGCAGGAAAGGTCTGAGCCCGGATGTTCAGAGAGTCAGAATGATTTGGAAATCCAGGATCACGAGATCTATTAAAACAACATTGATTTGCATCAGAAAAATGACCAAACCTGGATTACCAGCGCTTTAAATGGGATCACATATCACAACATGGAGTCACTTTAAGGGTTTTTACTTCAAGGGACAGAAAACAGCAGGAAGAAATACAAACCAACAAATACTGATGCACTGTTGTTACATGTGTTTTCATATAATATAATATAATATAATATAATATAATAGATAATGAAACAGCTGTGAACATCTGGCAGCAAGAATGACAGAAAACATACATTAAAAACAGTCAAAATAACAACAAATATCTGCAAATAAACACATTTAAATACAGTAAAACATTGTAAAAGGACAACTTACCATTTCTAATAATACAGATTTATTACTTTTTCCTGTGGTTTTACTGGTTGTTTTGTGTAATTGAACAAAACAGGGAGCGATCAATAGTCAGACGACATCATGATGATCAATAAAACCCTGATAACACATGAAGCTGTCCTCCTCCTCCTCCTCCTCCTCCTCCTCCTCCTCAGCCCTCCTCCGTCGCCCTGCTGGTCCGGGCCGTCTCCTCCTGGTCGGCCTCCTCAGAAACCCGCCCCGGCGTCTCCTGCGGGCCCGGCGACGTCATCACGGCGCTGCTGAGCTTCTCGGCGGGCGACGTCATCAGCGTGCTGCAGCAGAGGGAGGACTGGTGGCTGGGCCAGCTGAACGGGACGCAGGGCTGGTTCCCCAAAAGCTACGTCGCCGTGGAGACGGGCTCAGAGTACGAACGCTCACCTCAGGACGATCTGGTGACGAATGAAGCTGATTGGAGGATTTAACTCTCTCTGTGCTGTTGTTCCTTCACAGAGTCGATGCTGTGGACTCGCCGGACGGCGTTCAGCTGGAAGGTGAGACTAAACACACCAGATCATTAAAGTTATTTATCAGCTTATGAACTGAAACCACAGCTGACGTGGTCCTGGGTTCCCCTCCAGAGTACGTGGCCTTGTACACCTACGAGAGTCCGGAGGCGGGAGACCTGACGTTTGTGGAGGGGGACGTCGTCATGGTGACGGAGAGGGAGGGCGAGTGGTGGCGAGGATGCATCGGGGACCAGACGGGGGTGTTTCCCTCCAACTACGTCCGGCCGGTGGAGCCAGAGGTGAGTGTGTGGCTCTGTTTAAATGTTCTGCATTAAAGAGTCGTGTTCTGCTGTTTGGTTCCTTCAGTCTGTCGTATGTCTACGGTTTTGTCACTTGTGTGATGCATGAAGTCGTCTGGGATTCTGTTCAGTCGTTTGGGTTCAAGTAATTTTAAATACAAGTTATTTAGGACAGTTATGTGACACTTTGGACACATTTGGCATCTTATTTTGGAACATTTTTGTTATTTTGAACAAATATTAAGTGATTTTGAACTATTTTGTCTTTCTGGATGACTTACAGGTGATTTTGGACCAGTTTTGTGTCATTTGTGACAATTTAAAGTCATTTTGGACCTTTTTTTCATTTTGGGCAATTTGTCATGTCAGACCTTTTTTTGTCATCGTGGACCTACTTTGTGTCATTTGAGACGTTTCTGGTCATTTTAGCCGGAATGTAATTTATTTTGGACGATTATGTGTCATTTTCAACACATTTTGCATCATATTTTGGACCTTTTTCTAGTTATTTTGAACTCGTTTGTCTTTCTGGATAAGTTGCAAGATATCCTGGACCAATTTTGTCATTTTTTTCTGATAATTTTAGACGGATTTTAAGTTATTTTGTGTCATTTCCAGCATCATATTTTGGAGCATTTTTTAGTTACTTTAAACAAATATTAAGTTATTTTGAACTGCTTTGTCTTTCTGGATGAGGTTCGAGTCATTTTGGACCAGTTTTATGTCATTTCGGACAATTTAAAGTCATTTTGGTCTGCTTTTGGGCATATTTTTCTCACTGTGGACTTATTTTGTGTTTCC